CGAACAAGTGCATCGCTACTAGTAACAAGTGCCTTACTAGTAGTAACCAGAAGCTAGTAGGAACGATAAGCTACTAGGAGCAAGTGCATCGCTACTAGTAACAAGTGCCTTACTAGTAGTAACAAGAAGCTAGTAGGAACAAGTGCATCGCTACTAGTAACAAGTGCCTTACTAGTAGTAACAAGAAGCTAGTAGGAACAGGCGCAGGTGTTTGGTATCAGGCCAGGTCACCACAAGTTCTCATGGCCACGCTCCCTGCCAGGTTTGGGCACACCACCACTTTTGTGGGGGACAGTCGAGTGGTGCTGTTTGGTGGAGCTACTGGCGACACAGGCCAAGCGCCTGGTGTTTGTTATATACCTATCAAGTTTGTGGGACGTTGCCACCAGGCCGATACACCATTACAGCTGATGCCTTCATGCTCAACGTGGCAGCCCATGCTGTTGGAAATCCACCGCGACTGAAAGATCGGGCGTTAGTCAAGATCTGTGAAACCTTCACAATTTTGTTCCAACCTGTTTGAATAGTCACTAGGAACAAGAAGCTACTAGGGGCTCCTGGCATCGCTACTAGGAGCGTTCGGACGCTGCTAGGGACTCCTGGCCGTACTACGAACAGAACAAGAAGCTATTCTTCATGTTCTTGTTCTTCACATGACATGCTTCTTCACATGTGCAATGGACTGATGGATGCAAGGTGTCCAACAACACCTGGTCCCGGGTGCAAGCTGAAGGAGCCAATCGAGAAGGGGAGAGTAGCGCGATGTGCGGTCGCAAGTGACACATCAGCGCCAGGCTTCGAGATCCCCGTCGGTGGGGATCAACTCCCCCATCAAATCAAGAAACACAAACCAACAGTGTGCACAATGCAACAAGGTGTGATCATATGTGCAATTCTCACTTGTATTCAGTGTGAAGTGAAATGTCCATATTCTGCCAGGAAGTTTGCTTTGTAAAAAGAGCAACACGTAGAGTGCACAGCTCAAGAGCACCAACTATATTCATATCTCGTTGTGGTGCAAAATTGATGTCCTTTGAGTTCTTACTTTAGCGACGATGTCTTTACAACAGGTTTAGGGTGCAAGCAAAGGATTCCAAAGGGTTCAGATCAGCTGCAATGGTAAGATACAGCAGGCTTAGTAACAAGAAGCTACTAGTAGCAAGGACGCTATTAGGTGGAGGCCGTCGCAAGTAGGTTGTAGGCCATCGCTACTAGTAACAAGAAGCTACTAGTAGCAAGCTGCACAAGTTCTTCCTGTTCTTTTGGGTCCACGTAGCGTTTCTTGATTAAAGAGGCACAAGTCCATCAATCTTTTTTCGTGTGTTTGTCCTTTGTTATAGGCATTCCTATGCATTGGTATTTTCCACACTCTAGGAGCTCCTGGCATTGCTACTAGGAACAAGAAGCTACTAGGAGCAAAGGGCATCGCTACTAGGAACAAGAGGATGCTCGTTCGTTGGTCGTTTTAAATCGTGAGAGCCTCTCCAGGAACGATGCCCTTTGCACGTGCTGCTCATGCAGCTGCATGCGTGGACCACTCCCAAATGGTGCGACGTTGGCAAAGACACAAGAAGCTATTAGAAACAAGTGCCTTACTAGTAGTAACAAGAAGCTATTAGAATTAAATTAGTTACTACTAGTAAGGCACTTGTTTCTAATAGCTTCTTGTTTCAGACCACTCCCAACAGAAAATATTAGAAACAAGTGCCGGTTTTTACTTGACATATTCAGCTTGTTCAACAAAGAAATAAAGAAGAAGGAGCGTGAACAACATCAGATGCCTGGCTTTTTCCCAGGTTTACACGACGAACTTCATGTTTCAGTGACGTCGGCTGAATTGATGTTGTGAGAGGTGATCTACGGAGGGGCAACGGGTGGCGGCAGTCTATCGTTTGAACTCTCAGACGACCATGTTTGAATGTGATATCGGCTTGCTTTACTGAGAGAAAGGAACAAAAAGGAAAGGACTCAACATCCAACAGGTAGCGGTCTAAAGGGAGAAAGAGAAGAAGAAGAGAAGCAGGAAGTCGCTGTCCAATAGCACTGTTTGCTGTTTAAAAAGGTCGGACGAGTTGTACTTGCTAGACATCCGCAATGAGGAGAGCCAAACAGTCAAATAGCACTAAGTCAAACGCATTGGACGCACTGGCCCCAGGAGCGTTCTCAGTGGATGTCAGTCCCTGTGATGGGGACGACACCTGGAAGAAGATATGGTGTGCAGCTTTGCTTTCTTTGCAGGTTATTTGTGTTACTTGCTTTGCTTTGAGGGTGTTTGAATATGTTTTTCAATTCCATTCAAGCTGTGTGGCACAACTGGTCAAGGCCACACCATGATTTTCAACAAGCCCCTACTCATAGTCTTCGGTGGCAACAACGGACAGCAGGCCCACCATGCCACAGTTGGTGGACGGTGGAACAGGAACACTTGGGAACAGTGTGCACAAGTCCTGTGTTGAATTAAGGTTAGTAGGTTGGAGGCCATCGCTTTTCGGTTGGAGGCTTTTTAGGTTGGAGGCCATCGCTAGTAAGCACCATGTTTAATCTTCAACCTCTTTAACCTCTCAGGCTGAGTGCGACATTTGGATTCTTGATGTCGAGCGATCTCCTTTCCAGTGGCAAGAGGTGCCCCAGAAGTCTTGTCGCTGAACTTGTTTGTGTGTTTTTGTTGTGCAGATTCATCCTTCATTTGAGGTCCAGGTGATGGGAAAGCGGGGCCCACTTCCGCGGGTATACCATTCTGCTGAGGCCAGTTCTACGTTCTCAAACCATCCAAACACACAGAACAAATGACCAATCAGGCCAACTTGTTTACCTTCGTCTGTATGCCTGCGAGGCATCAAACTGGCCAAATAAGCAAACGTGATTCATGGTTGAAGGTGGCTAGTAGGTTGCTTTTAGGTTGGAGGCCTTTGCTGTTAGATGCTATTAGGTTGGAGGCCATCGCTAGTGGGGTCAGTACGAGCAACAGGTGAGTGGTCTCATGATTGCAACCTATAAAAGCCCACATTGAGGATAGATAAAAGGAGCTTTCAGGGGTGAAAGTGCAAAGGAAAAGAGGTGAGCTTGACAATCCCAAAATGACATCCCGGGTTGTGGGGATGAAAAAATATCCCAAAGTTCAAGCAGGAAGAAGGAAAAGTGTCTTATGACTTCGTCAGTTAGTTAGGACTGCAACTGAAGGCTTCAGACCATGGCAATTGCATTGGCAGCTAAGGGCATGAGACTTGGTGAGTTTTGGAAAACTTGGAGTTCACAAGTATTGCACTACCCACTCATTGGGGCTTGGGTTTGAAATGTCAAGAGAGACAGAGAGAGAAAGAGAGAAAGAAAACAGAAAAAGATAAAGAGAGCGATGGCCTCCAACCTACCAGCGACGGCCTCCAAGTCACGAGTATTACGAGTATTGCACTACTACCTTGGAACCAGCTCATGGGGCCTTGGGTCTGAAATGTTAAAAGAAAGAAAGATATATATATATATATATATTTCAGAGCAGAAAAAGAGAAAGAGATACTGTAGCATTGTTATTTCATGTTAATTACTTTTTTTCTTTAGACCTGTAATTAAGACCCGTGGGGTTTTGTCCTTTCTTCCCTTAGGTCTGGAGAAAGCCATCCAATGCCCATCCAGCAGGGTTGTTTGACTTGCAGGTGTGTCGTGAAGGTCCTGCCGCTGGAATGATGGTGGTCTTTGGCGGACGAACAGCTGAGAATAAGTCTCTCAAGGACAAAGAGCTTCTTGTTACTACTAGTAACAGGTGCCACGCTAGTAGTAACAAGTGCCTTACTAGTAGTAACAAAAAGCTATT